CCCTTTGTGCACAAGGACCTGCCTGTCGATCTCTGGTCTTCTGATGATGATACCTTTGTCCAGTTCTGCTACTGAAGGGACAGCGATGACACTTTACGATGCTGAGGAAGACTTTGTGGGTCAGGTCCTTGTGCCAGGGAATGATAGCTTTGATGAGAAACTTGTGGGTTGCTAACTAAACTTCAGCTTGCTTTTAAGTGTTTTCAAGTGTCTTTATCTAGACCTGTCATCTTTAATTTGTTTAAGATCCAAACCCAGACTGCTAGAAGGTATTTAAACCCCCATGTGTAGCATTTGGCTTAAGGTTGTCTCCTTACATTAAAAACAAAGCACTTTTAGCTGAGCACTGTGTAGTTCAGAGGTGGGGGAGAGCTTGTGACCTGTCTGCTAGGACTGGTACCACACCCAGCTGCTCTCATTATGTCTGCAGAGGGAAGAGTACTCGCTTTTTTGGAGACAGATTAATTAATCAAGGAAACCTTTGCAGTTTCATTTGTCGAAGAGCACCCTTCCCTAGGGCACTGTGCTTTGTTGTCAGCAGTGACTGTAGTTAGCAACGTTGCATTTCTTGGCCTCGAAAGTGAAACACAGCACCCGATTCTGAGAGGTTGAAGTATTTGTACCTGTGGAAGGTGTGACTTGGGAAACAGTGCAGTGCTGACAATACACAGATCTCCTTGGTGCTGCTGGAGACCACCTGCTCTGGCAGAAGGTAGCCACGTGCTTAACGTTGTCTTCATTTGTGGCCTTGTTTTTAGACCCCTGAGGAGGAGGAAATCCTGAACAAGAAACGTTCAAAGAAGATCCAGAAAAAATACGATGAGCGAAAGAAGAATGCCAAGATAGCAAGTATTCTTGAGGAGCAGTTCCAGCAAGGAAAGCTACTTGGTGAGTCCCTGGCAGCATCAATGTGAGTGGGGTCAGGGCACAAACAAGGTACCAGGGCAGATCTTATTCTGGGTCTTGAGATCATTCAAAGTGCACTGTGATAAGGCTGAGTGCAGGCTGAAAGCAATGAGGTGTTCTCTGTATCTGCAGGAATATCTTTTGGGTCTTAAATGTAACTTGTTATTTTATCTTCTCTGGAGATGCTCTGCTTCTGTCAGGACAGGGAACTATTTCTGGAGCTTGTGTTGGCTCCTGGAGTTGGTCATTCCTGGCTGGCCTTGGAGAGAAATGATGGGGCATGGGGCTCAAGACTTGCAAAACAACCCAGGGCCCATGGGCTGCACCGTGTGTCAGAAAAACGTCCTGCAACACACAACAGCTTTGACCAGTTTCAAGCTGTGGGGAATAGCTCAGTGTTCTGAAGTCTTCTGGTGATGAGACCTTTGTCCAGTTCTGCTACTGAATTTGAGCGATGACAGTTTGGAGATCTGAAGAGGACTTCATCAGGGGCTCAGTTCAGCAGAGCGGGTTCACGAGCCCCTTAGGGCGAGGCACAGGAGCCAGCACGTAAACTGGTGTAGCTGTGACTGGGAACTTGCTCGTCTGTGCTGTTGCAGAGAGACTGCCGTTGTTTCTTCCAGTCTGTGTATGTCCTGGGGTGAGGAATTACTGAACTTTACCTGGGTGACTTCTCTTTGCAGCCTGCATTGCTTCCAGACCTGGACAGTGTGGCCGAGCCGATGGATACGTGTTGGAAGGCAAGGAATTGGAGTTCTACTTGAGGAAGATCAAGGCCAGAAAAGGCAAATGAATAAAAACTATTCTGCTGAGAGAGCAAATAAAACCAAGAGTCTGTGACAGTAAAGGGTTGTGTGCTGATTTGTGTGTGCAGGGGGCTTGTGTCACTCCTCCTGTAAGATGGGAAAGAAGAGGGACCTCTTCTGTCATCCCTGAGTGCTTTTCTGGCTTCAGGCGAGCTCTCACCCTAAAGCTCTCAACTCAAACATCTTGCTGTGCTCTAGGACAGTGACTTAATGGACCATGGGTCTGTGGAAATCAGTCCTGGCTTTAAGACTGGCTGAAAACGTGTCTCCTACCCCTGCTTTCAGGTTCACACGTGCTCCCATCCTCTGGCTGGGGCCAGCAGCACCTTCTTGCTGTTGCTTGGTGGTTCCTGCCTGGTTGTACCACTGCCTTCAGGCTCCTGTATCTTCTTCTAAGCGAACTTTGCTGCACTGCTCAGTGACCAGCTGGTCTGTCCCTGACCTCCTTGGTCTCATTCCAGTGCCAGATCAATTCCTCCTAGCAGAAGGGCCGGGCTCTCGTTGTGGTCTGTCCCTTTCGAAAGCTGGGTACAAACTCCAAATTTCTCCCTTGTCACGTGTGATGGGTTTGGAAAGCTGTGGTGAACAGAAACTTTGCCGGATGTTTTGGGGCATGCAATGTCCTTCCTTGGGGCTGCTCTCTCTGAAGAAAGCCCTTGTGATGGATCTCTGCGTCTGTTTGCCAGATGCTTTGTGCTGGTGTTAGGGTGAGCCTGTCTAAGGGCTGGTCCCAGGGATGTGGGGGCAGGCCAGACACACACATCTTACAGCTGCTAAAGTGGACACTGCACATGCTGCACTCTGCTTACTTATTTTCACAAAAGCCACATTTATCTGTAGCAGCACCCTAGTGCTTACCTGCACAATTTTTAGCCCTGAACTGAAGGAGATGGTCTGATCATCTTGGCCCAAGAAGAGCTGTGGTGAGACCCATGTCTCCAGTGCCTTAAAATGCAGACTGCCCCACAATTGACATATGCTTAGTATTTATTTTTTGGGTTTTTTTTCAAGTTTCCCCTGTGAACCTGTGCCCTGGCTGCAGTGTGGCAGCAGGAGGTGCCAATGGGCTCAGGTGCTCTGGCCAGCAGGGGTTCATCCTGCCTTGCTGGCAGGGAGCTGAGGATGTCTGTGCCACGGGTGGAGAGACACCAACCACACCAGAAGATCCCAGAATCCCAGCATGTGAGGAGTTGAAGGGCCCTGCAAAGCTCCCCCAGTGCAACCCCTGCCACAGCAGGATCACCAGAGCAGTCACACAGGAACACGGCCAGGGCTTTGGGTGTCTCCACACAAGGACACTCCACAACCTCTCTGGGCAGCCTGGGCCATGCTCCAGAACCCTCACACTCACAAAGTTTCTCCTCATCTTCAGCTTGAACCTCCTGTGCTCCAGCTTGGGACCATTGCCCCTTGTCCTGGCATTGGCCATCCCAGAGCAGAGCCTGGCTCCTTCCTCCTGACACTGCCCTTTCCCAATGGATCCCCAGGAATGAGGGCACCCCTCAGGCTCCTCTGCTCCAAGCTCCAGAGCCCCAGCTCCCTCAGCCGCTCCTCCGCAGGAGATGCTCCACTCCCTCCAGCATCTTTGTGATGAAGGTGGTGATGGTTCTGCTGTGGTGGGCGTGCGTTGGCACTGCCCCGCAGCTCGGACCTGCGCTTGCTTGGATGTAAAAGCTGTGCCCAGGTGGATACAAGCGGCCACGCTTCTGCAGTCCCTGGTAGCAAGACCCAGGCTGGGCAGGATGTTTGCACAAGCACGTTCCTTCTCCATAGCGATCTGGGGTAAACTTTCCCTGCTCTCCAGAGAGGTGGGGTGGAGCTGATAAAGGGCATTGGGAGGGGTGCGTCACGGCTGCTTCCTCCGGTGTTAACGTCTCTCCCCTCACTCCGCAGAGCACAAACACGTTTCAGGGTGTCTCTGGGGGACTTTGTACAGAGGGAGAAACAGAAGCTTACGGAGCGACTGCCAGCTTGGTGTCAGAGCAGGAGCTGTAAACCTGGCCCCGATGAGCTGGATTATGGCTAATTCATCAATGCACGCTGATTAGGAAGTTACTGCTCTGGAAAACGCAGCTGCCGAGGGCAACGTCCCATGGGAACGAAGCAGCACCTATTGCCCACCAGAGTGGGTGTGATGGGAACGGCCCTGGCTCCCACGGTGGCACAGGCTGTGGATCCTCGTGTGGCCTGGCCTTGGTGTAACCCCATAGGTCTACCTGCCTGGGATTTGGCAATCCTGCCATGCACCAAACCAGAAAGAGGGGCAGGGGCTGGAGTTAAGCACAGCTTTATTCTGGCTAGGTTTGTGCAGCACCAAAGCCTGGTCTAAGGACCTTGCCTTCTTCTGCAGATAGGTGCAAGGGCTGCGTTTAAAACCAGCTACTTCCATGCAATGGTGGCATAATCCAAGGGAGGCCACTTATCCTGAGCACTGCTTCTTGCTGTCGAGTGGCTTTCTCAGCTCCGCGCAGTATTAACTTTGGGGTATTTTCAGGGTCCAACCCAGAAAATGACCTCGTGGTTACGCTTTACCAGGTCCAGCAGTAGCCCGAGGGGCAACAGAAGCAGAGTGGGGCTGGTTTGCAGTGGTGAGACAGGAGCTTTAAAGGAGAGGCGGCTTTGGGAAAGGAGGGCTTGCAGGAAAGGGCATTTTTTAACAGCTCTGCTAATATTCTCAGGGGAAACACGTGTGTCTGAGTGCAGGAATCCTTCTACAGGGGCTGAAAGCATCTTCCTCGGTTTTTTACCTGGTTTAATACCCCACAACCATCACTGGCTTTACCCCTTGGGGCTGAGCCGTTTTTGCCCCAGGAGAACCTGCGCGCTCCTTGACAAAAGCCAAATTCACCCACTTTGTGGATGGATGTGATGTCCCTGCTGTCTCACTGCTGGAGGTGAATCGCACCAACAAGGAGGAACCTCAGAGCTGGGACCGGCAAGAGCTTTATTGATACTGAGGGGTCATCTCCGGGATGGTGTTGGTTTTCTGCAAGACTGATGCCCTTGCCCTGCCCCTTGCTCGGGGTCTGGGCTGTTCTCTGTCCCCTGCATAGGTGGCATCATCACGCAGAGGGGCTGAATCCTGCAGTTTGGGGGCTAGCAGCTAGTGCTGAAGGCTGGCTGCCCAATCCCAAACCCACCAGGATCTTCCCATCAACCCAGGGACACATCTTGGCTCGGGGCTGGGTGGCAAAAGGCGTTGACTGGGGACAGGGAGCTTCATGGGTGGCAGT